ATAAGGCATATTTATACTTTTTATTTTTCAAAATACCAAACAGATCATGCATTTTAGCCATTCCTCATTTCGCTCAATTTAACACTGTCTTTTCATGGGCTGATTCTGTGAGAACAGCACCATCTACAGGCCTGGCATATGTACTACAGCGTCTCCAGCGTCTCCAACTCCTTCTGATTGGTGGAGTTGGCCCAATAGCCGTAGCGCCACTTCTGTGACGTCATAGAAGTGTTCAAATCTGGATCAGTCTGTATCAGATCCGTTGCAGCCCCTTTTTAAGAGATTTGGGTATGGAGGAAAATAGAGAGGGTAGTGTTTTCTGACACTTGGTGAGTTCCCTGGAACACCGGGGACACATATTCATGTATAAAAGACATACAAAAGTGCATTTTGCATGATAGGTCACCTTTAAAGCAAAATTAACCAATCACAGAATTTATGATTTCAGATTTTCCATCTGCTGATCGTGAATTGTTCAATATTTTGCAAGGTTCAGTCGTTTCTTGTCACACAAGCTTTTGACACCAGAGAATATAAATAAAAACATCAGGAGCATCTGTCAGTCACTAACATTTGATTTCTTGTGTGTGTCTCAGGGTGTGATCTGGACCACCTGGAAAGGAAAAGAGTTTTCCATTGCGTTTGCTGAGATGAAGATGAGGCCAGCGGCCTTCAGTCCTCCAAACAGAGGCTGAGGACGAGAACGATCCTAATGATTTAATGAACTGCTTACCATGATGCTTGATGGACAGCAGTGTGTACATACATGTTTGAACTCTCGATTTAGCCTCGCTCTGGCCTCAGAGGAGACAAAGACGTATTTTTTCATTTGTATAGAGGTCATTTATCAGTATGTTACTGTAGGTTGTACAGGTTTTATCTTTTCAAAGCAGGGCTTCTCTAACTGTCTCTACATGTACATTTAAAGTGTCAGTTTACCCAAAATACAACAACACATATATTACCGTTCAAAAGTTTGAATCTCCTACCAAAAACACATTATTTGGTCCAGTCATATCTGAGAAGAGACTCCGTACACTATCCAACAGTTCAAGCAGACAATGAAAATGGGGATCAGAAAAGAAAACGGTGTATTTGGAGTGCCTTCAATCTCATAAACTGCGATATAAGACAACCCAGTCCGTTTTGGGGGGCTACGGGTCAGATAACATGGGATTTAAGCCATTCAGATTTGGCGCCCCTTTCCATGTTACATGCAGGCCTATTAGACTATAATAATGTGTTTTATGAACATTAAAACTGCAGTTGCCAACATACTTTTCGCATCTTTTGCCAAAGATTTTATAATACCCTCTCAGCATATTGTAATTCAAGTGGTCTGAGAGAAAACTTGACCCCTGCACCTCCTCATCGCTCCGCACTTAAGCTAACCAAAGGCTATTTAATTGAGGCAAGCAGAGTTTCTGCTTGCTCTTCTACATACAGTATACATAATGTCTGTCCACATCCCTTACGGCCCGTCCACACACAGGCATGAAACAAATCTTTCAAAGCTTCGCCCATTCACTTGAATGGGGTTACATAGAAGATTTTTAATCTTCGCCGAACTGCATTGTGGGGATCGGAGCATGGCTTTGCAAGCATCATGAGCATCAAAAGTTGAGCAATGTTCAACTTTTGATGCTCCTAATGCTTGCGAAGCTGGCATCAGCCAATCAAATCCCGTTTATGCAAATCCCGCCAGTGCAAGCGCTAGCCAATCAAACCGCGTGTACTGTACGCAGATACCGCTGCGGTCTTTTCCNGCCTGTACATGGTGCTGTTCTCACAGAATCAGCCCATGCAAAGACAGTGTTAAATTGAGCGAAATGAGGAATGGCTAAAATGCATGATCTGTTTGGTATTTTGAAAAATAAAAAGTATAAATATGCCTTATATAGGTATGGTCCTACACTATATTATTCAAATATAGCATGATAGGTCCACTTTAAAGTTTGTTAGAACAACCACCATCTAGAAAATGAACTATTTTAGGGATATGTTCAATCACCCAACCCTGGAGAGTCCAAGGGGGAAAAAACGAGGGCCACTGTAGATCAGACCCGTCCTTGAAGGGTTTATTTATATATAGGCTACCTGAGACAGGAATGGGAGCAGAGCAGACTAAAGGCACCTCAATCTGAAACTGTGCGAACATTTATCCTCATCCTGCTGATACAATTGGAGGAGATGTGATGAGTTGCAGATGCCACTTTCAAAATTCTAATCGTACGAGTTATGGGCCTAAAAATCAGGGCCATTTTCTTATTGCAAAACATGTTCATCTATAATGTTAAAGCACATAAAGATATGAGGCATCACTCATGTATATATTCTGTATTAAGAAGAAGCTTTACCTTTTCACTGCTCTTGCCTTCAGGCTCTGTGGAGTCCTTTTCAGAAGCAAGTGGCACTTCGTCTTCTGCAGCTGGCAGATCTGCACTTGGAGTGGGGCTGCTGCTCCCCTCTTCACACAATGTGTCCCTCTTCCCTTGTATTTCAGAATCAACTTCTTCTTCTTCTAAAAGTCCCATTACATCTGGACCTTTCTCCGTTGATGTGACCTCTGTTTCCCCCACACTATCCTGTAGCTGTGAGTCTACAGGTGTTCTCCGACTCTCCTCCTTCTCCTCTGGTAGATGTGTACTTGCCTCTAAAGTTTCCCTCTCGGCCTCTATTCCAGCAGTTAATATATTTTCCCGTGTAACTTGTGATGAGTGATTTCCCACTCCACCAGCATTTGTTTCTTGAATCTCCACGTCTCCATAACCTTCTGCAAGTCCGTCCTCTTTTTTGCCTCCATCCGTGTCCGTTGTCTCGTCCTCAGCGTCGTTTGAATTTTCATCTTTTTCACAACCCTCATTCTGGTGAAATTCACATTCACTTATCCCTCCTGCTTTTTCATTAATATCTTCATTTTCATGATCCATTTCATTCTCTGGGTTCTCTTCATCGATGGTGGGCTGATGTGATGAGCTGATAGTTTTAACACCTTCGTGCTTACCATCAACACCACTATTATTTAAATCAGAATCATTTGTGTCTACCTTCTTGCTCATTATATCAGATTCCATGTGCTGTCTTTCCATTTCCTCCCCTCCACACTTTATTTCCTCTACAGCTCCCATCATTGCAGGTTCATTGTGGTCTTGTGTTTGAGATATATCCACTGCAGTTACCTCTTTGCACTCTTCCTCCAGTTGCATTTCTAAAAACGTAGTCTGTAAGACATCTACTGAGCTGTCTCCTGGCTGTTTCTCCTCAACCTCTTTAATCTGCTGACCCTCTGGGACATCTTCAAAGTTAACCTCAACCAAAGAATCCTCATTTGTTATAGCATTACTGACAGAAACTCCCTCTATATGAGTTAAGCTTTCATGTATAATGCCAGACGAAGACTCAGATGGTGAAGCTACCTCTTCTGTTTGTTCTACTTGGTCCTCTCCTCCTTGCTGATTGTGCTTAGAGTGAGACAATAATGATACAGTATTCTCCTCAGGTTGGGGTCTTGAGCTTCCTCCAAGCTCTGTAGCACACACATCAACATCAGCTAGCCCAGAATATGAAAATACTTCCACTGGTTCTTCTGCGTCAGTATTAAGATCTCCTTCCGGATCTATAATCTCCATATCTACAACTGAATTATTTTGTTCATTATCTCCACGTTCTTTTTCCGGTTCTAACTCCTGGGTACACACATTTGAAATAGCTTTCATTGACAACAAGTCGGTGGGCTCTAACTCAGACTGAGTATTATCTTGGTCTGGAACAGAGATGCTATCTTTTCCATTAGCTGCCCTGCCAACTTGATCAAATGTAGTTATTGTTTGGTCTTTCTCCTCCTCTGTCCCACTCAGATCATCCGGCTGTAGGTCTGTAGCTGGGATCATGTTTACTGATTCCTCCTCTGAGAGTCCTTCTGCCTTTGAAATAACATTTTTCTCTGTAATATCCAGTTTTCCTTCATATTCTTCCATACTTTCACTTGAATCAACCTCTTCAGAGACAGTAGGATGTGTTGTGGAAACATTAGAGACTTCTTCTGCATGGCTTGATTCATCTTCAGTTTGGGGTTCATAGGATTTTTCTCTAAAAAGTATCAATCAAAATGAAAGACTGAAGGTGAAATATTGGAAAAACTGGAAAATAGTGATGTGGCCTAGGTAATCCTTCCTCAAAACAAAAATCTAAATGCCTGATTGACTGTCTTCCTGCAGCTGGTGGCCGCTTATCTTCCAGTCCTGACCTTTCTTCTCACCCTCGACATTTTAAACCTGGAAGAACTTGAGCTGACATTTCGTGCTGGTTCAATTAATTCTCAAGGAATTATCATAAACTAATCTATTTTCATAAACAAATCCAAATGTAGGATTATGATTTCAAACATTTAAAAACGTTCATTAGGTTGGACAAAGCAGGTTGTTGCTTTGCGTTTTCCATTCCACAATTTCCCTTTTTGCAGTATTGATTTGATTTAATTCTATTTCCTAATTTTCTAATAAGGACAACAAACTAGCTACCATATTCAGAAAAAAACTCACACAAAAACTCAAGATGTAACGATTAAAAATGAAAAATATATTATTTGTTTCTCCGCTGTCACTTTCTATTCTTTCCCTCATGTCCATCCTCTCCCTCTCCTGTTGATCCTCCTGCCAGTTATAGCGTATAAGCAGAGACTCACTTGGAAATGGTCATCTTTGCTGAAGGCTCTTTTTCAGGACTAGGCTGTTGGGAAAACGAAAAACAAAACAAAGGTGTCAGGATGAATAAAATGAGACAACAGAGGAAATATTTTATAGGGATGGTATGGCAGTGACTTTGAGTTAGTACCCCAGTAGCCTTGAATGCATGGTTGTTGTAGAATCTATCTTCCAGTTTAGCAGCCCACTCAGCTGGGTCGATGCCACTATCTACAAGCAAACACATTATCAATTATTTCTTTTATATTCATTCATTAATGTGATGTTCATTTGATAGAAAATAAATATAATATACATAGGAAATTGCATATCAATTATCCAATGCACTTTATCTCAACATTTATAGTCACTGCCTATGTGAACTTGCACTAATTGTATTGTTTTTTTCATTTGTTTTATTTGTTTTATGTATTGTTTAATTTGTTAGTAACCTGTTACCCAAGTGTATTCTATTCTACACTGTAGCTGTGTATATGGCATTAAAGTCTTTACATCTTGAATCTAATGTTTGCCTCTATATTTGGCCTTTAAAATAACAAACACAAAATTACACAGCTAAACTATGATGTATATTTTGTGGATTACAGTAGTACCAATTGTAAAGTTGCAGTTACCTTCTCTTTGTGTGAGTAGAGTATCGAAGTACTGTGCAGCATATTTAGGGATGTCTTCGGGCTGATCTCGCAGGACTTCTCTGGCCAGCCCCTCCAAGATGGTGCTGAATCCTCGCGGGACCCGCAGGTGCGTGTTGGAGAAAGGTACTGACATGTTTTAGCATTCAGAGGGGAAAATAACTCCTATATCAGCTTGGGAAGACCTACAAGAGAAGTAAGTTAGTTTTTGTCAGTAATTCGTCTTCCTTCCTGGTGCTCAGCGTAGAAGACAAGAGAAGCTAGCTAACACTGGCAACTTTCCCCACATTACAAGCTAACGTTCAAAGTAATCTAAATAGTGCTAGATATTCGTCACCATATCGTCACTCACACCACCTGAGTTGCAAAATGTCAAAGCGTTAGTCAAAGGTTCACCTGTTAACTGAAACGACAAGCACTACGTATCCACCTTTACTTATCAATGTTTTGTTTAAAAACAGTTAGCTACTGGTGTGTTTTGTTTATAGTTGTTTCTAGGCAACTGTTGTTCCTACGGACACTGACGAGGCTCAAATTACCAAAAACACAGACTTCGCACGCACATGTTGTTTTCGTTAAACTCATGTTTAATACAGTTGATTTGATTGAAAAGCTTTATTGGACATAAAGCATTTTTTACAGACATTTAACACGTGAAAAAAAACTATATAATAAGAACAAATTGAGAAGCATTGCATATGAAGCGCTCTCTTCTTTCTGCAGAAGCGACCCCAGTCAGGCATATGTGATGACTGCATATTCAGAGTTGGTGCTCATCTTGCGGCTGACCTCCCTTGGCTGAGGGACATGCAGTCTGTCGGCTGAACGCGAGGCCTGCAGGTGAGACCTTGGTTCATCTCCCCACCACTGTAGATAGAGCAGAGAGATTGATTTAGCATGTTGTTGGGAATAGCAAACCTTCCCAAGTAGGCTCTAACAATATCATTGATACAGATCGATACAACTGGTTGTGTTATGTGTTGTATGCACAAGTGAAAGTAACACATTTAGTCAATGCAAACCCACTTGCTTTACTGCAAACAATGTGTTATTGCAATCTGAACACATCAATAATATAATTTAAAGGTAACTAACTTGGTACAATTTTAATAATACAAACATTCAGTGGCCTGTTTATAAGTAACACCTAGCTAACTAAAATAATACTAAACACCTTTGCAATAAATTACACCTTTTTTATGCACATTGTGATCCGTTTTTGGAGAGCTGTTTATTAGTTTATGGTCCTTTCATTGGGTTATACTGAGATATTCAGTCAATGCAAGTTGACATAAATACCTAATAAACAGGAACAGACTGTAGCTTTATTAATACCATTCAGTATTTAAACAATCAAGATACACTTAAGACGTTTTAAATTGTGATCAGAGTAGATGAAGTGAGATAAATGAGCAGACTCTACATTTCTTTGTTTTTATGGCAACCCAATGTGATTGATGCCTACTACGCACAGTAAATCCTTATTTTCCCTTATAATTTTGTCTATAAAGCATAGCCAGTAACTGCTCATACATTTAAGGTGGTGTACTACATTTATTCATTGTGCGTCCTTGTGAAAACAAACAACAATAAACTATAAAAGAGAACCATCAGATAAGCATTTTTAGGCTTTAGATTCATGTACAAGATTTACCGGTGCAGAGTTGGACTTGCTAATAAATCAGAGGAGAATAAGCTGTCTTAAAAATGAACTTTTCAGTAAGATAGAAAATGACAAGCATATGTCTCATGAAGTCTCATTCCTCACCTCTTGTTGATCGCCAGGGGTCAAGTAGCCGACCTGAGTGAGCTCTGGTGTACTGACACCTCGGACAGCGATCGTTATGTCAGCATATGGGACCTCGGTGTCACTCTCATTATCTTGGCCAAAGAAATAATGAAATATATCAGTCAGTATTTGTAATGCAGACATTGATGTTGTCACATGAGTGGTGCTAATAATGATCCAGAAATCCTCTTACCTGGTGTGGGAATCCTTAAAGTCACTCTTTCACTTTTTGTTGACACTGTCCCTGTGAAATGTGACAGGTATGAATGGCAGGAATGCGTTGAGACCTTAAAATCTTTGTATTTAATTTTTAGATATAAAAGTTTACCCTTCACTGGCGAAGGGAAAGCCTGAAGAGGAAGTGGTGAGCTTTAACAGAAACAAATACAAAATTAACTTAAAGAATTGAGCAATATCATATAAAGATATTTTCTTATATATTTATTTTATTTATTGAAACACAATCCAAATGGTCATTCTAAAATGTTACTCACCCTGACCTGGACCCAACAGGCTCCCCTGGAATGTGTGACATTATGAAAACGATGATATAGACATAGATCATTATTTGGACATTTTAACTTTTTATAAAACATGTATGTTGATAGTTTAATCATTTTCAATCACCTTTATCAGTCCAGCACTGTCTGTTCCGGTTCAGACACAGGAAAATGGCCAAAGCTGCAAGCACCGTGGCCACAGCAACGGTTACTATAGCTAACACCTTAATTCCAGCAAATTCCCCCAGCACACCTTGAAAAATAATTGAATTATCTTGGAATGACTGAATGTTGCTTTTAAGTTTCACACGCAGATGTACTTATTTACATAAAATACAGAATTTCTATCAATAAACCGCCATTTAAAGTGCCTTCTTACCTTCACTTGAATCATTTTGCTCAGCAGGATTAGAGGCTAATGGCAAATGTAAAAAAATGGTATACATAAATGAATGAAAGGTATAACAATATTGTAAAAATATTTAAGAATACATTTTAATTAAAAGAAAATCCTCACCATTTGTAGTTGCAGTCTTTGGGGTAACTATCCCGTTTTGGACACTTGTTGTAGCTGAAAAAGAAAAACTCTTTAAAAAAACAGTTTTTTTTCTTGTTGTAAATAGTTGTTTTTAAAAAATATATATTCAACAACAAGATATATCTTATGTTGATTTTCATAAATAACCTTTAATTTGCAGAACAACGATGCCTGCTATGTTTTGTGGAACTTGAGGGTCATCTGTATGCCGTGTGTAGCAAATGTACTTCTTATTGTGATCTTTAATAGACAAAATTGACAGATGAAGGGACGTTGTGCACAAACTGCTTTTGCTGGAATTTCCAAGACAGTCGACAAAGGCACCGGTTTTTTTTTGTTTTGCTTTAGTCCAACAGCCACGAACAAATCCAATGGAGCAATTGTATGTGCAGTTTAATGTTAGAGGGTCTCCCAACGCTACATCCACATATTCCAAAATTGACGTCAGATTAATACAGCTTGTAAAATCTGCAGAAAAAGAACATTTGATCACTGTTACACTCAACACAAACAACATATTAACATTATATTAATACCATACCAACAATCTATAATTTTTGTGTTGCATTTAACACACATGAAAGTGTAGTCCAATGACCAAAAGTAGGCCTATAAATACCTTTTGTCACCAAAAAAACGAGCAAAGCGAAGTGGAATGAGATCGTCATTGTTGTTCTGATTCCTGCTGCCTCAAAACATACAATCAAATATCTTGTGTGCCCGTAGTTTGGTTATGCCAGCATCTGCAGAAACTGCTGAAATAACCGCACCTGTTTTCCAACCCTTGCTTAAAGAAACAGGAAGTGGTAAACAACAGAATTCAGAGTTGTGTAAAAATAATCTATATTTTTCCATCTATTGCACCTGACTTCCTGCAAAGAAAACTAAATATTGTTCTCAAACATATTACATACATTTTAACCACTAGCATTTTAAATAACAACATTTATCTTTTGTATTCATAGTACAAAGCATAATATTTGCACCTGGTTTGAAAAAACACACAGATATTGTTTGTGGTAATCTGCAGATGCACCATTGCAGCTCACTCTGTGCTCAAACAAAGGATGTGCCTGGCACTCATTTAATTGAATAATTTATTTTCCAACTCTCACACATCGAAGCAAAAGGGGGTCTTCTTGGATAAAGCTTTCATTGTTGCATGTAGATCCATTAGATTTGTCATGTCTGTTTCATATTTTCTTCTCGTTAAAACCTTTCAATTAATTACTGAAGTAACATCCATAATTGAAGTGTTCCCCGAACAGAAACATATCTAGGTTAGCGCTTGCACATACTCATGCATTATGAAATGGGAAGATACAGTTACTGAACATCATTGCACACCATTATCAGCTAGGGCAATCACATGGGACTCACATTTCGTGCTCTTGTTTCACTTTCAGCGACTGAGGGCCTCTCACTTTCATGCCTTTAAACAGTCAGTCATGAAAGCTCAGACCAAACAGCCTTGAATGAAAATACAAAAATGAAGCAGTGTGGACTTGATTAGAGATACCATGATGATGTATTCATGGAAAGTAATGTTTTGTTTTTCAGTTTCATTTGTTTTTCTGGAACTGACACAATCTGGACTCGCCTCAGGTAAGAGCAATGACTGTTTAAAGTAGTTTTTTTTGTAGATAGTCAAACATATGGACAAAGACAAACTTTAACATCCTTGCTGACATTAATTTATGTATTCAAGAATCATCTGAAGGGAGTGCAGACCTCCCCCTCGGTGAAGCGACAGACATGGATAGGTGTCCAGAGGGAAAATACTTCTCCAACGACCTCTGTTTGGAGTGTCCCTCTGGTCATTTGTAAGTCATCAACCATCTTTGATATTAATGGTATATTCTTAATGTGTAAACTATGAAAATAATACATAAATAATCGATAATAGCTCAATATAAAGACACATTATTTTTGCTCCTTTTGATGAGTCACATGTAAGAATTTGAAATAAGATAAAAAATAAATAAATGTGTTCATCAAATCAATACTAATACTACTTTTTGATTATAATAAATGTATATCAATTCAAATTTTGTTGTTGTATAGTTGTCCTGGCAATGTATCTGCACCTCAAAGATGTCCAGCAGGAACGTTCAACCTCTACATGGGCAAAAGTCGTATCAGTGACTGTAAGGTGAGAGACAGCTTTGGAAAACAAACCCATCATCATCATCATCATCATCATACAACAAGCTGTCTTTCTGCCATGCCCTCTTTTGAAAGCCATTGGTATTGCACATTTCATTTTATAGTCTTTATAACATGATGCAGATTCATAGACCTTTTTCCCCAAAGTCATTTTGACTTGTCATATCAAGAAAAAGCAGGTGAAACTAATATATTGATGATGAACTGCAACTGGTCACAATGTCTGAAAAATATTTATTCTAATTAAGTTACACATCTTTCCCCTCTTTTTGTAAGTTTATACCTTAAATACCTTGACTATTGGCTTTGATGCTGTCTGACAGGGAGAATTTTCCTCATTGTATTTACTTTAATAATTTCTGTATGTTTGCAGCCGTGTTTTCCAGGTCTGATCAGTTCAGAGGACCGAGTGGACTGTAGGCTGTGTCCTGCAGGTCTCTCATGTGATCCAGTCAATGGGACACTCTCTTTATGCCCCCCGGGACAACATTCTC